TAAAAATGAAAAATGATCTTAAAAGTTAATGGAGTGGCATTCCTGTTTATTTCAGAAACCAGTTTTGTGAAGAGAAACTCTGTATAAACAGAAATCGTTTGAATAAAAAAATACATATAAACAGGTCTTTTTAAACAGATACAGAATTATGTTTTTGCTGTTTTGTCACAGTTTTTCAGTTAACATTCACTGGGGCTGACCAGAGGGCTCATCTCTCTGGGGAGTGACGGCCCTGTAAGTCTGCGGTGTGGAGGAAATAAATGATCTATTTCACATGCTAAGCACAAGGCCAGGCTTATTAGTAAGTGCCCGATAATGGGTCTATCTGCCTCTAAATCCAAGATTATAATCCGTACCCTATTTTAAAAGAATTAGAGCCATCGTTTGTAAATCTAGAGAGCTTACATAAAAGCTTGGATTTCTGGCTTCTCTTGCAAAATTGGAAGAGCTGACGGCACAGGCTGGCGGCTGCCCCTTGGCCGGCCCCAGTGCCCTTGCCCACTCAGCGTGCCTGGCACGGACACATGCGGCCGGTGTGATAGGCCGCGTCGCCCTGCATGGCAACCGAGCGCCCCACCCCACGCCACGCCTCTGTCTCCCCAGCAAGAGCAGAACATCAAGCCCCAGTTCTTCGCCTTCCGCTGGCTGACACTGCTGCTGTCCCAGGAGTTCTTGCTGCCCGACGTCATCCGTATCTGGGATTCCCTCTTCGCCGACGACAACCGTTTCGACTTCCTCCTCCTGGTCTGCTGTGCCATGCTCATGTGAGTGTGACCGCCAGCAGAGGGGTGGGCAGGGGCTGCCCTCATGAGGAGTGAGCCACTGCAGGTGGGGAGGAGGGAGCGGGAAGGGGCCCGCTGGGCCTGCAGTCTGCAGCCCCGGGGTTCCAGCACCTTCGCTGCTTGTTTTCCTCAGACTGATCCGGGAGCAGTTGCTGGAAGGGGACTTTACCATAAACATGCGGCTCCTACAGGTAATGGGGTTTGGAGCGGCGAGCCCCGTCTTTAGCCATGAGGTACATACTTACCAGGCAGCCACCCACGCCAGCTGCTGTTACAAGCTGGGGTCAGGGACCCTGAGACATAAGCGTGCAGACGCCTGACGCGGATCTGGTTTGGGTCTGGGTTTGAATCCCACTTCTGCCACTTGAGTGTGGTGTCACCTTGAGTGAACGACTCAGTATCTCTGGACCAGACGCTCTATAGGAGTTCATCGTAGCTGGGACATAGCGGCGCCTCATCCGTCGTAGTGCTTGGTGGTGCAAGGGCTCGGACTTGGGGGAGGATAGGGGGGCATAATGGTTGAGAAGTGGGCGCAAAAGCGGCTCTGGATGCCACTGTGCTAATCGCGTGACCCAAGCCAAGTGACAACCTTTCTAGGCCTCGCTTTCTTCAGTGCCTGGCCTGGGGTTGGTTTTCAGTAATCGGATTGACCAGGTCTGTAAAAGAGGCCTAGTCACAGTCTCTTTCTCCTCAGACTGATGAAGTGACCCAGTGAACCTAGTGCATAAGCAACGTCTGGCCCACTCTCAGGCTCGTTATGAACGGCACTTGGGTTTGAGGGCAGGAGAGATGGGGGGAGGGTGGTCCTGGTCCTGAGGAAGGGGCTGTGATACTTTTTGGTGCTGGTTGGGTTGGGTCAGTTAGGGCTGCAGTGGTTTGGGCAGAATGGGGCATCTGGTTGCCTGTGGTCCCTGTCCCTGAGGCCCAGGGCCCAGCTTGGTGACAGGGCCCAGTGGGAAGGGCGTGGGTGTGGCAGAGGTGGCGAAGGGTGAGCTGACTTCAAAGGCATATTGTTGACTTTTCCCATATCTAGGATTACCCCATCACAGATGTCTGCCAGATCCTACAGAAAGCCAAGGAACTCCAAGACTCAAAGTAGCCTGCTGGCAAGAGGCCCAGTTTGGGAGAGAAGACACTGACCCCTGTGCCCTGGCTTCTGGGACACACAAGAGCCTCTGGGATCCCAGCCAGCCCGAGGGGAAGCTGCAGGACTGGCCCACTCCAGGCCACCTCATCTGGCTCCCTCATCCTAGGCCGCTCCCGCTGGGGGCACACTGTGCCATGCTCCTTTCTAACCACCCAGCCCTGGCTCCCTCCCCGCTCTTCGACCCGGAGGCCTTTTGCCCAGGCTGCCGAGCAAGGCTGGAGCTCATGAGGTAGTTTCTTGGGGCTGGGGGCACTGGGGGCCAGCAAGGGTCCTTCCCTGCCTCTGCTGCTCCCTTCCCCCTCTCCTGCTCGGGTCTTCTGGGCTCGGGTTGCAGGAGGTGCTTGGCAAATGAGCCAGTACCACTTCTTCTGGGGCTTGGTGCTTAGGCTTCTCCATGGGGAAGGTGACACTGTGAAGGAGCTAAGAAGCTGCCAGGCCCAGGTCACACCCTCTGTCCCTCTCCCACTGAGTGTGTTTCTGTCTGTAGTCATGGGTGGGTGTGTCTGTGTGTCCTCATCCCCCAGGTATCTGCTGCTCCTCTGTGGGTGTCGGGCAGTGTGTGTGTGAGGGGGGTGGGGGCATCTTTGCTCCTTTGAGGTCTTTCTTCTCTGTCCCCTTCCCCTCAGAGTGTGTGTGACTGTCTCGTTCTGTCTGCCCCTCTCTCCATTTCCCTCTGCCCTTCTCTCTTGGGGTGCCTTATCCCCAGCCTCTTCCCCCTCCTGCTCCCCTCCATTCCATGAACCCCAGAGACAGAATGAGGAGTCCGGCGAAGTCCCTGGGGGTCAACTTTTGAGGCCTGTTCCCATCCCCAGCCCTAGGTCCCCGGGTCCCACAGACTGGGAGGGAGGCCGTAGTGCCTCCCTAGAGGGCCCTGAATCCGCTCCCGACAGAAATCTTGGGAACAAAAGCTGCTGAGAAATGATGGCCTACAAGGCTTTGGGCTCCTTACCCTCCTTTCTGCCCAGGGTTGGAAGAAGGAGACGAGGGAGAGCTGAGTCTTCCAGAGATTCCCCCTAAAGGCCCTTGTTTCCCAAAGGAAAAGGACAGGAAAGTGGTACTGTGCCAGGGGTTGGGATCCAAGTGCTTCAGAAGAGTAGTCCTTCCCGTGGCTTCCAGGTTCCGGCCCAGGGTGGTGAGGCCCATAAAGGGCAGGTGGGGCCAGCGGGAGCCTCCCTGGGCCAGGGGTAGCTGAGCTTAACAGCCCTGGATCCTGTCGGTGCCAGAAAAGGCGTGTCTCCCCCAAGCAGGGTGAAGGAGCTGCTGGCCCTTCCCTGGTCACCTGCTTGGGCTCTTCCCAGGATTTGGGGCAGGGGCACTCTGGGCGGAAGCAACTGGCTTCTCTTGCCACTGGGCTGTGCAAGGAGTGGGCTTATTTTGACCAAGCCCTTCCTCCTCTTGTGAGGAGGCAGGTGGTTTGGGTCTGGAAGGCTGGGCAATGTAGCAGGGGGTCCTCAGCCTCTCCTCAGACTGGCCAGCGGTGGCCCTCTTGTCCCCACCGCCTTCCCGAGTCAGGCATCCAGGACTTTGTGCTGCCCGCCCAGGCCTGGCTGTGGGCCGGGAAGAGCTGCCCGCCAATGGCTCCTATCCCAGCTGTACCTTGGCTGCTGCTGGGATGTTATGCACATTGCCTTTTTGCCTCCTCTTCTCCCAACACACAGTCTTTGGGAGATTTTCTACTATTTATTCAGACCCCTGGTTATTTATTGCAGACTGGCTAATGCTTGACTTGGAGGTGAAGGGTGGGGCCAGGAGGGTAAAAAGCAGTTGGAGACAGTCTTCCTGTCTTTGCAAGGTCAGAGTCTGCATCCTCTCCCCCTGCCTCTGGGACCTTCCTGATTTTCCAGCAGTTCCTGGCTGGGAGGGCTGTGAGCTCTGTACTGGAATTGAGGGTAAGGGATGGGGGAGGGCTGCTGTTGAGAGGGCTGGTATCGTCTCTGGACCACAAGACCCCAGCATGGCGCAGAGACACACTTCCAGCAGCCTGGCTCGGCCTCTTCCCAGAACTTGTCAGCTGGTGGTTCATTCCCAACTTTGACCCCTTCACAGCCTGAGGCTTGGGCCCCAGCCTGGGCCCCAGCAGACTCTGCCCAGGACACCTGATGCATTCCCTCTTGCCTGTCCCCCCTGCCTTCCCTCCTGGGGCCGTACTACTTGAATCACTGCGTCTGATTCGCCTCAGTGGCAGGCTTAGATCCAGTGCTCTCTCCTTGACTTTGGGATGAGGGTCGAGCACAGGGACCCTGTGCAGATTAGGCTGCGCTCCCCAGTGGGATACTGCCTGGGGAAAGGGCAGGCCCTTGGTGATTCCCCCTTCCCAGACTCTCCAGAGAGGTGCCCTGAGAGCCAGAGTGCCTGAGGCTTCCCTATTGGGAAGCTGCCCCCAGGACTTTGGACACTTACAGATTGGGCTATATGAACTCAGCAGGTCTCACTCCGGGGTCAGAATGTGAGTCTGCTTTTGTTCTTTTCATCAGTTTTATTCCTTGAATCAGTGCTGTTGATTGATGACAAGTTGTCTTTAATAAATCATGTGTTCTTTGCAATGGGCCTTGGTGCTGTGATGGGCTGAAACCTTTGAGATCTCGGAGAAGGAAAAGCCTGAGCAGGGATGGAGTCAGGAGACTCAGTGGGCAAAGAAAAAGGCTGGGAAATTCTTGTTGGAAGAGTCTATTCAAGTCTTCTCATTCAACCACTGCGATTTGCAGCTGGAGGGCAAGGGTCCGTAGGCTAGGGAAGGAGGTACTATGCCACTTGATTACACAGCAAGTTATTTTTGAGATTGACAAAACTTCAAATAAAATCCGTACTACTCACAGTCTAGAGAAAATCACTGAGAATATGTTAGTCTTTGCTACATCGTTGTCATTTTCTTGATACACTTTTGTGTACTGTCTCCCCCCTCAGGTTAGGTGGTAAGCAAGTTGCTGTATGATGTTAAAAATATATTTACGGGCTATATAGTATTCTCATATGCCAAAAATGTCTGAATCCAGCCCCTATCTTGGAATAGTTTGCTTATTTCGGCCTCCGTTATACGTAATACCGTGGGGGCAAGCTTTCGTGTTTAAAATCCTTGCATTCCCGATTCGTTTCCCCAGCTCAGTCTTCTAAGTAGGTTGAAAGGTATGAACCTTTTTAAGGCATTTATACATACTGCCAAACTGCCTTCTAGAATCGTGCCAGTTTCTGTCCCATCCAGCCGTTAGCATCAGCCGCCTGCATCCCTGTCCTCTTGCCCGGTGTTAAAATATTTACCAACGTCCTACAACTTTCGACTTAGGTGTAACGGTTAGAAGGGTAGATTTTGGTGTCAGGCAGACCTGGGATCTTGTCCTTGTTTCTTTGTCCAGCCAACTAGGAACTTCCTCTCGGGGCTCTTTTGAAGATTAAGTCAAGTAGTGAAGGCGCGTTAGACCAGTGCCTGACACTTCTCGGCGCTCGTAAGTCATAAATAAGTAGGAGCTCCTACCCGCGGCGCGGAGCGTCCCTGTGCAGTCCAATGAGGGGGCGGGGCGGAGCCGGGCGGCGGCATCCAATCACGAACCATGGACACGTCCCGCCCCCTCCCGGGTGCACGTCTTAAAAGGGCAAAGAAAGGGCGCCGGGACGTCCCCTCGGCGCCGGTCCTGACCCATTCTGTTGGGGTTCCCCAGTTCTTCGAAGCGTCCGTGAGTGGAAGCGACGGGCATCCCACCGTCTCGCGCCCCTACCCGGCCTCCTCCCCCGCGGTGGGCCCCGCAGACCGGCGCGGCCCCTTTAAGAGCCTCGCGGGTCGGCAGCCGGAGGTCGCGGTGTTCCCGGGGCGCCACGGGCCGCCCTCCACCTGCTCTCGGGCCGCGCTCCCCGCCATGCAGGCGCTGCGGGCCAGCCTGACCCTGGCGCTAG